CATTTAGAATGATTTCATACCGTGTAAATCAATAAAATTTCGTAGGTATGAGGATCAATTTTGTAGGTATTTATATGAGTTTCAAAGGCCTATTATTAAAGTTAATTCTCTCTTTATATTAAATATTTAAATCTCATGTGAGATTTCAAGAATCTTTGTAGAGACTTAAATTAATCACATTATCGTGTAGGATAATAAATCCTTGCAGACATCGTGATTCACAATTTATATGGTAAATAAATAAACAGATTTTGTAAATAAAAAAAAGACATTTTTATAATTTTAATTAATTAAATTAATGAATTTAAATTATAATTATATTTACCAATCATATCTTTTGGTCATGTGGGGTTTTTGAAACTCCATAGACTTTTAGGATAATCGTACTACCGTGTGAGTTAATAAAACTTCACAGGTATAATGATTAAGATCTCTATATTTAAAAATATGCGTTTTATAATTACGCATTAAAATATATTCAAAGTGAATATTATTTAATCCTTTTATCGTGTGAGACCTTGTATCTCTGTAGATATTGAGGATAATCTCGTATTGTGTAAATCAATAAGGTTTCATAAATATGAGAGTAAAACTTATATGTTAATATAAGTTTAAAGGGCCCATCTTTAAATTTAACTCTCTTGTTATAACCCAGATTAATAATTTATTTAAATCTCATGTGAGATTTCAAGAATCTTCATAGAGACTTAAATTAATCACTTCATCGTGTGGGATAATAAGTCCTCACAAATATAGTGATTCTCAATTTTTATAATAAATAAATGATTTTTGCAAATAATCATATAACACAATTTAGAAAATTAATTAATTAAATTAATGTATTTAAATTGTAATTATATTCACCAATTATATCTTTTAGTCATGTGAGATTTATGAATCTCCGTAGACTTCTAAAATAATCATATTATCGTATGAGTCAATAAGACTATACAGATATTATCGTATGAGTCAATATAACGATTAAGTTTTGAATATACACATATAAATTATATATTAAATTAATTAAATTAAAAGACGTATTTAAATTTAATTCCTTTATTGTGTGAGATTTTAAAATCTCCACAAATATTTAGGATAATCATATTACCGTATAAGCCAATAAGGCTATGCAGGTATGATGATTAAAATTCTTTAAAACATGTATCTACAAGCTAAAAAAATTATTATCAACACTTAAAAATGTACATAAGAATATAAAAAAATAAATTAAATTGCCAAATTCTTTTATCGTGTGAGATTTTAGAATTTCTGCAGATATTTAGAACAATTACATTACCGTATGAACCAATAAGGCTCTGCAGGTATAACAGTTAAATTCCCAATCATAAAATATAAAGAAAAATAATTTTAAACCCTTTCCTTTCTTTATTAAATATTCAAAAATAGAGAAAATAATTAAAATTAAATTACCTTTTACAATTTAAAATACACATATTAAAATTTCAGAAATTATTTTATTTGCAAAATGGTGAATTATTTTTAATTAATTTCTCTTCAAAAAATATTTTCACCAACAAACTTTTAAATCTGAACTACATGGACTTTGATCCCCATCACAGGGTATGTAGGTCTCAGGGTCAGATTCTGAGTCAAGTCCGTCCTCCCTCGTAAACAAATAAATATTTCTCACTTAATTCTTATCATTTTTATCAAACACATAAATATAAAAGGGATAATTAAAATAATTATAAAACTATATTAATAGAGCATAACAAATTTTAGGTAAACGTTCTAACGAACAGGTGTTGTGGGGTGCCTAACACCTTCCCCACATTCAACCGACTCCCAAACCTATTCTCTGATTTCGCAAATCACCCTTATCATCCCTTTAATCAGTTTCTCGAGATTTACCTCAAAATTTTAGTGGCGATTCCTCATTCGATCCGGTTCCCACTGCGAAGGCCGGGGCCTCCACTAGCGCGCCGTCCGCATCGCATTTTTTCGGGTGCAACAACTACTACTACTAATAATAATAAAATAAACGTTGCTAGAAATAATTATTTAAGAAGTGCACTGTATGTGTAATGGGAATTGGTGTTGATGAGGCAATTGTAATTCTCAAATATGACAAATAAATAAGACTCCTAAAATGGCCAAAAAAGCGAAAAGCGAAAAGCGAAAAGCGAATGGAAAACTATAAGCAGACGGAAAGACAGCTAAAAGGAAGTGAACATAAATAGAGTATGATTCAAGAGGGAATCTAACTAAAGCAGGAATGCCCCATAAAGTGTGGCCAAAAAAGAAAAATGCCCCAAAAAGGACAAAAAAATATTACAATTAATCTGCTTGCATCGCTGGACAAATGCCAAAACATGACCGCAATTAGATGTCATAATCAGGCACCGGCCTTATCCTCGTTCAAAGTACTTTTTGCCTTTTTGAAACAGAGGTTCAAACCACTAACCTTAGTGGTTTAATATATATATATATATATATATTATGCATTATGTGCATGTATGTAATAATTTTTTTAATTTCAATATAACATGTTCCTTCAATTTTTTTTATATTTTTACTAATCTCATCAATATTAATATAAAAAAATATAAAAAATGAAAGTATATAAAATTTCAAATATGCTTCTATTAATAAATTCAAAAAATGATATCATATTACCTTTTCTCTCTCATAAAGGGTAATTTTAAAAATATTTTTTAAATATTACCTAAAAAATCACACTATAACTTATAAATGAGATTAAATGAATATTTTAAAATGTGATTAATAAATAAGATCAAAGGAAGTATATATTTTTATATGCACTAATGATATTCCTCTCTCATCCTTAAGTCCGGAACCAACCTTAAATGTTAGGGGGGCCAATTTTTGGAAAACAAAAATATATTATTAATTTTAAATTTTTAAGATTTATCATACTATTTTAAAAAAATTAATTTTATAATTAAAAATATTAGATAACAAATTATGTATAATTATATATCTTTTTTAGAAAAACTTAAGATGCGTGATTTTTACCCCAATAATTTTAATAGTTTTTGTAACTTAAACAAGACATGACAAGGCTCCCTTTAATAATTAATAAGGGTATCATTGAAATATTAAAATGTTTTTAAAAAATACAAGAATCTAATAGTTTTTCTAATTTACATGAAAAAATGTTGAGAAGAATATATAAATTGGGGTGAAGGGAGTACTACCACAATATAAAATATCTTCTAAAAGCTTTCCTTGATTCAAAATATATGGGAATTGTGTTGAGTTTATAATTGTTTTTCAACTATACCCCTACTTAATTTATTACTTTGTTTGAAAAATTATATATTAAAATTTCAATTATTATTATTGTGACACTTATATAAAGTATTTAATGAAGGTATAATTAAAAAGTTGTGCAATTTTTTAAGAGACTAAAATTTTATCTAACTTTTTTATAAAAATCATGAAATAATTACCAATGCCATATATTTTAGTTTAGAGAAAATATGCATACAAAATCCTCTCTCAGTATATATGCATGTGTGTAAAATGGGAGATTTTTTTATATATATACAAGATCAAGGTATCCACAATCAATAGTTGTGACTAACCCTCTCACCGCAGGATTTGTCATAAAGGAACAAATGACTGATTATAAAGCGCTCTCCATTTACATTAATAAAGGATATGGAAGGTTATTTTGATTAGGGGGGAGTTATGTGGAGACTGTGTGATGTTGTGAGCCGTGAGGGAATGGGTGAGGGAAGCTACTAATCCCAAGTCCTATTATTTATACAAAGGGTATTGGGTTGTGGGCCCCCCTTGCAATACACACAGTTCCGCCCCAGCCTCAAGTGAATATCTTACTGGAAATAAATACTTCTAAAATTAACCTCTTGCAAAATAAATATAATTAAGTTTTTTCCCTTTCGTTATCTAATCAAAATTATCCTCTGCAATGCTAAATACATGCTAGATTTAAAATAAATACTCCCTTCATTTAAAAATATGAGATATTTTTTAATTTTTCAAGATGTAATTATTTTTTTTTCAAAAATGTCCCTATTAATGAATAATTTTATATTTATTGTAGGATGTTTAATAAAGATAAATATAAAAAAATAAGGTTAGTTTAAAAGTAGATAATTATTTTATTGAGAGGTAAGATTTGATTAAAAATATTTTATATTTTTAAACAAAGAGAGTAATATATATACCCCACTTCTTCTGCCTCTTCTCCCTCTCAGTTTTTTTTTATTTAACCAAAAAGGAAATATATGCATTCAAAACTCAGTCAAATACAACATTACAAGTCTACAACATATCCGAGATTCATATGATGCGGTATGTATTATTTCAGCACCCTAATTCTAATATATTCGCGCGCGCACAGATACATTAATTTAAGGTTGTATGAGTAATAGAAATTTTTTATGGCAAAAAAAAAAAAAGTTAGTGCGAATCCTTATCTTTTTTTTTTTTTTTGAAATGGTTGGAGACTCATTTACAGCTTTTGGATTTGGAATAAACTTAGTTATGAAGGACTTACTTTTTTGCTATAATATCATTGGGAAGATTAGTCTACGTTATCAATGATCAGCAAATATTTAGTAATGAAATGAAATGAATTAAAAAAATTAACATAAAAATGAACTAAATCATCTTTTTTCCTCATAATAAATATAATAAAACTCATTAATATATAGTATAAATGTAAAAATTATCACATCCTTAAAAAATTTTAAGAATTATGATTTTCAACCCAATAAAAGAAATAACCCATTTTCTTTATAAATGTGATTCATTATTCCTTTAGATCATCTCATTTTTACTTTATCTTTTCAATTTATTTTATTTTATTTTTTTCTAATAACTAAACGTGGCTTGAGTGTTTCATTATGGTTTCCTCCTCTGTCTCCTCTATGTCTTCTCTGCTCCTCCTTTATTTATGTTCCTTTGACTTCCAATTCCAACAACTTGTGCTCTTCATCAAGGCATTATAATGTAAGTATAACAATAAATTGATCAGAAGCTAAGGAAGATATTTCTGTTTTTGGGGTTTAATTTGGAGAACACACGAACATTTCACGATGAAACTTGTTGAAAGCACATTACAAGGCATAGAAGAACAACACTAGAAACCACACATAATCCTCAAAAAAAAGCTTCACTATAAAAGCCTACAGTCTAAGGTAAAACCATGACACACACAACTAAACAGCACACGGCTTCAATTAAAGTGGCAAAACTACTTAAAGCATATTACAGTAAAACAGAAACAACACAAAATCAAAACACCAGAAAAAGGAGTGATGCAGATTATCAGACAAGAAGCATTGTTTACTTTTTCGGGGGAGGTGGCTTCTTCCTCCCATAACCTATTCGGTCCCCTATCTGCTTCGTGTTGTTTCCCTTTGAGGAGGATGACCCCTTCGATGCATTACTTCCATTGCCATTGCTGTTGTTATCCTTAGAACCAGAGATTCGTCCGTAACCTATAGAATCTCCGGTGCACTTTCCTCCCTTTGAATCATTTGAAGAACTCATCCTGCATATAGCAATCATCATTCACTTATTATCTTTTTCCCCCTATATATAAATGAACTAGCTACCCAGAAAATAAGGAATATGATTCGACACAACAGATATGGCTTTGGAAGCTCAACAAGTAAAATGTATATGATGAATTTAATTGAGAAGCAGGCAATTTGAGAGTATTTATGCGATTAAAAACAAACCCACGAGATATGAAAGACAGAGCAAATTCTTAGGAAAGAACAAAATAGCCAAGACCAAGAAGCAAACAGATAGATCCAACCAGCAACAATACACTCACAAGCCTCGGACAAGCTATGCCTAGAAAATCTCTATACAGCAAATTATGTAAACCATCAGGAGGATCACATAAAATATATATGTTGAATTTAAAACGGTACGCGGAAGTAAAATTCTCAAATGCTATACCAAGATATGCCCACTTGGGAACTATTTGTGCCATTAAGAACAAAAACAGAGGATTTCACTCAAAAACAGAATATGTGAAAGATAGAGCCAAGACACTCTGGTGAGGGATGGAAAATCTCAGAACCAAGGGGTAGGAGGTGCAAAATATTGCACCTTATTAAGAATCAATAAGTAAAGATTTCAAGGACATAGATGTAAAATATCAAAATTTTTAATATTCACCCACCAGACCCAGGGCAAATTTTCAGAAAAGGTCAGCCTTGCAGGTGGGCTTTTCCAGGGCACCTCCTCTACTCTTATCAACCAGACAACGAAACTGCCAGATTCAACAAACAGCGGCAGATCGAACAAACAACAGAATCGGAAAAAGAAAAGAGGGGGAAGCCCATGACTACGTGACGGAACAGGGAGCGACGAGGACAAACTGAAATACATTAGCCGTTCCCTTGATCTCGCCTGAAACAAATTCAAGCTGTGGCTCCGGCTAGGTATGGAAGTAACCCTCAACCAAAGCCTGAAGCACTTCGATCAATCCTTGTATGCTAGAATACTGATCAGATCCAAGCACCTCCTGCATCAGCTAAGCTAAAATGGAAGCAAAGAACGTGATAGGAATACAAACGTAAAGAGGAATTGCTCGTTCCTCAGTCCTGACGCTTGCGTTAAATGAACGGTGGCTGCATGCTTGCCTACGTTCTGTGTTGATCCCATTAGAGCAATCAAAACGAACAAGCAGACCCAAATATGTGGAGCGAAGGAGATGAAACAAAACCTCCAAAAACAGAGCAGGGTAAAGAGAATGGAAGACTGAGCAGCATTGTCACCACTTTACTTGAGGCTCAGACTGAAAAATAAACATTGCAACCCAATAAAAACATCTGAGTAATGGACTGCGTTCTTTTCAACGAGTTTCTGGACGTAACAAAAAGAAAATGGTAAGATGCAGGGTGACATTAGCATAGGGGAGTTTACCTGCAGGGCTGCCAAAGGAATGCTTTGAAGCTTTTACACCGGTGACCTTAAAAGTTAAAAGAACTTAGAGCTTGATTCCAATGGAGCGAAGAGGAGGACAAGGTTCGGCCGCTCTGCTTCTAGAGAACAGAGTGAGCAAAGAAGAGTGAAGAGATTACGTGTTTTCAGTGAATTTTATGCGAAGGAACACAGAGAGAGAGAGAGAGAGAGTTTGAATCAAACGGCCTATGGCTAACAAAGCTGTCTTTATCAGGCTCCCTTTATCAATACTTTACACGTCATGTTTCAACAAGTGGCAAGTGGTAGCGTTTCCTCCCCAACATCAATACCAACTCACGAGTACACGGAAGTAAAATTCTCAAATACCACACCATGATATGCCCACTTGGGAAGCATTTATGACATTTAGAACCAAAACACAGAATTTCACTCCCCAAAAAAAAAAAAAAAACAAGAAGACGTGAAAGATAGAGCCAGTGGTGGAGCTATGACCCTTAAGCGAGGGATGCAAAATTTTAGAACTGAGGGGTAGGAGGTGCAAAATATTACAACTTATTAGTTATTAGGAATCAATAGGTAAAAATTTCAAGGGCATAGTTGCAAAATATTTAAATTTTTATATTAAATTTTCAATATTCCGCAAAGTGAGGATGCGTTTGCCTCGCCTCACCCCGGTGGCTCTCCCGCTGGACCGAGGGAAAATTCACAGAAAAAGTCAGGCTCGAAGATGGCCTTCTCCTGGACACCGTCTCCACCAACAAAACTGCCAGATTCAACAGTGGCAAACCAACGAACAACAGAATAGGAAAAAGGAGGAGGTTCTCTTCAACAACCAGCGTGTTTACCCGGGTCTGAAACGGGTTTTCCGACCCGAACCAAAAGCAGCAAAATGAAACGAATTTCAAGGCAAGAAAAGCTTTTTCATGATCCAGAGAGAATTTCTAACAGCCCACTCACTCCCTATTGTCTCTTCTCCGAGTCCCGCCTCCCTCATCTCTCTCTAATGAGAGTGTTTCCAGACAAAAGAGATCGATCGAGGGGAAATGAGAAGATGCGAAAGAGAAAGGCCGACGGAAGTGAAGATTGAAGTCGTCGACGGTAAAGACGACAAGGTTTATTTTACCAGAGCTGCTCCGGCTAGGTAAAGAAGTGACTCTCAACCAAGGCCTGAAACACATCGATCAGTACTTGTTTGTTAGAGTACTGACCAGCTCCAAGCACCTCCCTCATCAGCTAAGCTCATGAGCACAAGTCTGGAGCAAAAATTGAAGCAAAGAAAATGATTGCAATACAGATTGGATCCTGTTGCAGAGGAATTGCTCATTCCTGAAACTTTCGTTAAATGAACAGTGACCACATGCTGTCTTACGTTCTGTATCGATCCCATAAGCACAATCAAAACAAACAAGAAGACCCAAAATATGTGAAGAGGTAGATGAAACAAAACCTACAAAAACAGAGCATGATAAAAAGAATGGAAGACTAAGCAGCAGCACCACCACTTTACTAGAGACTCAGACAGAGAAATAAACATTCCAACCCAAAATCATCTGAAATTCTGAATAATGGACTGCTTTTCAACGAGTTTCTGGGTTTAAGAGAAGAAAATGATATCAGGATGACATTTGAGCATGTATACAGGGGAGTTTACCTGCAGGGCGGACAAGGATTGCTACGAAGCTTTCGCGCCCGTGACATTAAAAGAACCGAGAGTTCAATTCTAATGGAGCGAAGAGGAAGATGAGTTTCGGCTGGTCTGCCTCTAGAGAACAGGGTGAGCAAAGAAGAGTGTGGACATTGTTAGCGGAAAGAACTTTTACCCGCCCGGGTCGGTTGCTAGTGGCTCCCACAGCCCCAAAAAGCAAGAGCTCTGAATCAGCTCATGATGTGTAAAGGTTCTCTCCTGTTCCCGCGAATTAGTGACTGTTGGCACTTGCACACATATAATTTATCCTTTCTTTGATCCTACTAGTTTTAATATTTTGCATCAAATTTTAATGATCTGTCCTTTAATCCATGTTAACTTAGAGGTTTGCGTCTGCCCCTAAGTCTGAACCCATCCATACCTTTGTTTCTGTCTCAGAAATCTAAAAAAACCTTACTTGGGCTCCCCTCCAAATCCAAGTTTTGATAATAAATATATATCTTATGTTGATTAGTTGTTGCATGATCATGATTTAAGTTTAGGTTATGTTGTCCAAATATATATATATATATATAAAATAAATATATACGAACCAAAGGAATTGGACTCCCAGTCCCTCCCAACAAGATGATGGAGTCCGCTATTCTCCTCCAACCCTCCACTATATGTGAAAAAAAAATATATATATATATATATATATAGAAAGTCAAATTTCATTATATTAAAACGAAAAGTGAACCATTGAGGTCAGAAGCAGATATAAACACACATAGCAACAACATAGAGACAAAAGGAATGCAACGTAAGCATACCGAAAACAGAAAAGAAATGGAAAGCTTGAAGAAATCCAATTACCAACTTATAAATTATTTTTAATATTTTTTTAAAAAATAAATTCCACAATTTTCACTAGTAATTGGCTTGCTTTCCTTTTGTACTGTTATTGTCATGGCCATTATCTATAAATTTATGCTTTGTAGAACGTCATTAATTCAATAATGTTGTGTAATTGCAAAAGAGTTCACTTTTAATGCGTAGCTTCCTTACAATTTAAACAAGGATTAAAGACACAAATGGATACTTGCTCAACGAATTAATGAAACAAGAATAAAACAAGAACAAGACCTAATTTCTGAATAAATTATTAACACCCTGGATTAACATTATAATCAATTTTAGGGTCTAAAAAATTAATTATTGGAAAAATTATCCAATAAGCAAAAAAAGTTGATAATTGATTATTAAGCCAGGATTATATTTTAAAATAAGCTTTGGAAGGTTGCTTATATATTCAATTTTACTGTTAAATAATATATTTTATTTTTTAAACAAAGTTTAAAAAATTTAATAATATTAAGTATAATTTTATCAATAATTTAATTTTGAAAAGTAATATCCTTTATGATAATTTGCACAGTTAAAATTAATTTCAGTATTCAAATAGATTACATTATAATATAATTAATTATAATTAAAATTAATCATATTAATTAATTATTTTTATAATTAATTATATCCAATTCAAATTCGCATAGCCCTAAGTTATCACTATGCTCATGCAAGAAATTAAAGATTGGCCTTTAGCATGTGCTCTAACTTTTTTTTATTTTAATATATTTGTCCTTTGCAACAGAAAGAAATTGCATTCAAAACTCAGTCAGTGTCAGATACTCAGATACGATTATAGGATCAACACCGTAAATCCAATATAATAAACACCACACATTAATTTAAGTTGTCACTATCATATCGCCTTATACTTGTGAGGTAGTCTTGTATGAAAAGAAAGAAAGGAAGGAAAGATTATCTTCTTTCTTTGTCATGAATCATTTTGAGCCTTTCCATTTTCAGACATAAGAGGATCATGAATCATTTTGAACCTTTTTATTTTCAAGCTTAAGAGGCCAATCCTCTTAAGCTTAAATTACTATTTTTTATCTTAAAATAATAACTCAATCTCGTTTATATTTGAGTTTAAAAAGATCAATTCAATGAGTTCAATCTGAATTGACAGCTCTAAATATATATTTAATTTAAATGATTTAATTTAATATTAAAATTTTTACAATCTTATTATTAAAGTATATTCTTAATAATTTAGGTATAATTTAAATGGTATAATTTAAAATTAATTTTCATATTTTCTATAAATTACCCATTTAAATATACTTTATACATAGTTCATATTTAATATCCAATTTTTTTATGATTTTTATATTAATAAATATAATATTAAAAATATTTAAAAATTAATTTAAATAAATAGTAAAAATTATTTTAGAATAAAATAAAAGGTCAGGATTTAGCCGCGGCAAGTAGGGACTCCATTCTGACTCCTGCTTTTGGGGGTGTGGGCGCCACAACTCCTCATTCATCTCCCCTCTCCTGTTTCTGTCTCTCCCAATTATACCTTCCACACTATTTTTCTTTTGGGCTTCTATTTCTTAAAATCTACAACTCTACCACCTTTTTTAATGGAGCAGGACAGAAAACAGGGGAGAGAGAACAAGTGAGAAACTCCGGATGATCCGTCCTTTTCTCCATACTAGCGTACTCATTCCGTTTTTATACATATAAAAAAATTATGTTATACAATTTAAAAAAATTAATTAACTATAATAATAATATTCTAAAATAAAAAAATAAATTAAAATATCCTGTATTAATCAACATAAGTATGCATTAATTATTTTTTATTAATGTAAATTATGAGAATTGAATTAAAAAATATATAATAAATACTTATTAAAATAATTTATTTTATTTATAAAAAATACAAGTGAAAAGTGATAATTTTTTTAATAATAAAAAATGAAGAAAGTAGAGGTTTGCATCTACCCTTGAGTGGCTCAGCTTGAATCCAATCCATCCCCTTATCTTTGTCTTAGAAATCTCAAAAACCTTACTCTAGCTCACCCCCAAA